CGACCGGACCAAAAAAAAAGAAAGTTATCAAGCCCAAAAGGAAGGAGCTCTCCCGGTACCCCTGGAGTTTTCAGGAAGATCTGTGGCCAGTGACCCTAGGGCTAATTTCAATCCATCTCTCCTCATGGCCATCCCCCACTTTCAGTGGGCTCAGAAAAAATGGACCACCCATCCTTGCTCAGTCTGTGTCAATCCCACATCCTACATAGACCCACCAGCTCCCACCTCACCCGTGCCCCCAGACCTCACAGAACAGAGAGTCCACATCAGTCTTTATTGGGAAAGAGAAGCATCAGCACCCGCTGCAAGTACCAGGGCCACTTCCTGTGCTCCAGGCAACAGCAGGAAGGGAAGCCGGGCCAAGAAGACCATGAGTGCCCCCTGGGAGTGTCACAAGCCCTGGGACACCACCCTCTCCTGGCTGCCAGCATAGGACTTCTGGGGTCTCTACAGAAGATCCAGACAAGTCAGGACCACTAGGTTCCCCGGGCCTCTGCAAGTAGAAGAAACCTCATGTTACAACCATGTCTTCCTGGCTCCATCCCTCCCACAGCCTTCCCCTCCATCCTGGAAAGCCCTGGTATGCATCTCTGTCAAAAGACTTGAATGGGCTGGGTGTTGGTGGCTCACACCTGTAATCCTAGCTACTCAAGATGCTCACATGTGAGGATCACAGTTCAAAGCCAGCCCGGAAAGACTGTGAGACTCTTATCTCCAAAAAACCACCAGAAAACCGGAAGTGGCGCTATGGCTCAAGATGATGGCTCAGCTGAAGAGCTGAGGCCCAGAGTTCAAGCTCCATGACCCACCAAAAAAAAAAAAAAAAGACTTGAATGGCTGCCAGCTTCCTAAACTACCTGGCATTGAAACTGGCATTGAAAATCCTTGTCACCTAGAAGTCACCCTTCCCTCTCCTGATATACAAACACAAGTGCGGCTGCCCCCTTCCATGCCCTGCCTCCATCCCTCCCTGTCCAAACATGTCACTTACACTCCTGTCTTCTAGGCCTTTGTTAACAATCACATGACCTGTCTGGCAGGTTCTTGGTGCTATCCCAGGATTACAATTAGTCTAGCTCACCCGCAAGTCGCACCCTCTTTAAACACCTCCAAGCCCATAGTGTCTATCTGATGGTTCTGATTTCCTCATAGGATCTTTGCCCTATACTAGACTCTCCTTGACCTTCAACATCCCCCTCTCCATACCTAAGCCAGCCCTGAGACCGGCCAACTCTAGATCTGGTGGGTGATGACAAAGATCTATACCCACCGCGTTCCAAATCAGAGCTGATGGTCCCATTGGAGTCTACAGTCCCATTGGATGGCAGGGCCAGCGGGACACAGAAGCGGCCGCAGCCTGATTTACAGCACTTTTCCCCGGGTTGGCAGTGTTCATCCATGAAGCAGCCAACAATACACAGGCCTACCAGAATGTTCGGACAAGCGCCATCTCGCCCTGTGGGGAGAACAGGCCTGGGTAAGCAGACAGGACATTGGCCGCATGTCCCGGGGATCCTGTGGAGAATGCAGAGCCAGGAGTTCCAGGTGAGTCGATCTCTGACTCCTAACACAATCCTCACCAACCTACGGACATCCCCAAACCCCCGAACCAAGAGTTTTCAAAGGGTGTCCCAAAGGGAACTCCCTAGAGGCGCTTCCAAGACTGCTAGCGCTCCAGGCTCAGGGGCAGAGCTAGGTTGAGAGAGGGGGCCAAGTCCTTCCCCTCTTCTCGGCTTAGACTGAGTGTCAGTTGTACATCCGCCGCCCTACAGGTGGTCTTGCACCCTGCTCTGTGCTCCGTGACACCCTGCATGCATCTCCTCCCATCAGACCTTACAGGATGGTCCTTGGCTTGCAATGGAACAAGCGTGCTAGACACTCAGTGGAAGCCAACCTACCTCCTTTAATGTCCCCACGGCATGCCTGACCACAGCCAGTGCTGCAGCACTTGTGCCCCGGGGGACAGGACTCATCTCTGTCACACAGCTCCTGACACGGAAGGGGGTCCGCAGGACATCCACCACCAACCTCTGCCACAGAGTCAAAATAAGAGGTGCAAATCCGCAAAGTGAAGTATATTTTTCACATCTGATATGTACGCAGATGTTTAGCTTTCAAGTTCAAAGTATAAGCAATGTACTCTGATATTTTCTATTCTTTTTTGTCTTCATGTGTGTATCGTGTGTGTGTGTGTGTGTGTGTGTGTGTGTGTGTGTGTGTGTGTGTCAGTTCTAGGGCTTGAACTGAGCGTCTGGGCACCATCTCTGAGCTCTTTTGATAAAGGCTACCACTTTACTACTTGAGCCATAGCTCCACTTCTGGCTTTTTATGTTTCAGTGGAGAGAAGAGTCGCATAGGCTTTCCTGCCACTCACAGCTTCAAACCACAATCCTCAGATCTCAGCCTCCAAAGTAGCTAGGATTATAGGTATGAGCCTCGGGCACCTGACTTTTCTATTTTAATGCTGGCCATGAACTTACTAACTTATTTCCGTCCTCACATTTCAGAGTTAGGTGCTGGTGCTTCACACCTGCACTCCTAGTCCATGAAACTCTTATCTCCAATTAACCAGCAAAAACACAGAGACGGAGCCCATGACTCATGTGGTAGAGTACCACACTTGGGTAAAAACAGCCTAGGGACAGTGCCCAGACCTTGAGTTCATGCCCAAGTACCAGTACACACACACATACACACACACACACAGAGGAACAGTTTCAGTTTCAGCTCTATCCCACTAGAGCAACCACCCTAATGCCAACGCCACATTTATTCTCTCTTCCTGTGACTGGCATTCTCCTGGGCTTCATGCCCTGGTGAAGTCCTCTTTCATACTGTCTAACCCAGGGGCCACCAGCCACCATGAAGATGCCACAAAGCAGCTTCAGCTGGACTGTATAGATGATTCTCCATCTTCCTTGTGGCTGTGTGGGTTGCCGAGGCTCATCTGGGTATTCCAATGCCACTCAAGCCCCACTGGAGCTCCCCGTCCAGAGCAAATGAGTGACTAGCAGATGAGTGACTAGCTAGACCATGTAGGAACATGGTCTGCCCCGCCGAGCCTAGGCAACCCACACAACTGCAAGCAAGAGAAAACCGTTGTTGTCTTAAGCCACAAAATGTGGGGATGTTTTCTTATGCAGCAATAGGTAGGTACATGGAACCGTTATGAACAGAAGCCCAGGTTTGCTCTGAGAGACAATGATTCCAGCTAAAATGGGGATTCACTTCCTCATAATTCCCTACAACCAGGGGCAACCAAGGACCAAGACATAAACTGGGGAGATATTTGCATTCCCCTCCCTCTTCCTTCTTCTAGTACAATGGTGGACTTACTATGGAAAGGCAGAACAGCAGGGCGCGGCTGGGAATGTGGCTCAGTGGTAGAGTGCTTGCCTAGCATGCATGAAGCCTTGGGTTCAATTCCTCAGTATCACATAACCAGAAAAATCCAGAAGTGGTACTATAGCTCAAAGTGGTAGAATGCTAGTTTTGAGCAAAAGCAGCTCAGAAACAGTGCCCAGGCCCTACAACCAATA